AAGAAACAACATGATGCTATGTATTAAAAGTTCGGAAAAACCGCCTGAAAATGGCTCAAAATCAAATCTTCTTTTCCCATCGAAACAATGAAAAAAAAATTATTGCCCCCCCCCCAAAGCTTTTGGACTTGCGCCGCCACTGAGCTTATTAATACTTGTATTTTTGCTAAAGAATTTTTCTTGTTACTCGTATAACTTTGCGGATTAACAATATCCAATCTTCTTATCTGTGCTTGCTAACGAATGGTTATCGTGCAGTGATGAAAATATCTCATTGAGCTGTAAAAAAGAACGTCTTATTGACTTCAACTTTATCTGATATATTATTCAAGAATTATCGATAGCTGGACAATGCTTCGATCATAATGACTTTTCTAAATTAGAGTTGGAATGTACCTAATACAAGAGCTGATTTTTTTTCTTTGCACACCTTAGTATGAATTCGTCTTGCTTCAAATAGGAGATCTGTGACAAGAGATATTATGCACATTTTTCTTTCAAACCAAATGATAACGATTTAAGCGAAGCGATATTTTTATAAACAAAAACCTAGCTTTCATATTATATCCAGACTATTTCTGGTGAAAAATTTGTGTCTTAGCGTTCCCTTGCAGCGCGGAAAAGCCATGAGGAGAAACGTACACTATAAAACAGAGATGTTATTTTCGCTGATTTTGGAAAAAATTTTAAAAAGTTCAAAACAGTTAAGTCTCAAGAAAGTGACAGAGGACTCATTTTGAAGATAGCATTCCACTCTACTAGACTATATCATTGAGAATATTTTCTTATAGAAAAAGTAGAAAAAAGTACGAAAATGAATAGTGATCTTTTTTTCCAGGTGTATTTCAAATTCTAAAAAGTAACTTTTCAAAGGAATATTTCTCGGAGCAGGAATGACTCCCTTTTTGTAGCATGCACTTAAGTCTACATGAGAATATGTCAAACTAAAATTCGAAAACACTTTTCATTTCAGTATCTGAAGAGAAAGTGGGAGAACTTTATGCAACGAATAGTCGCCTCGTTTGCACTTTGACTAATCAGACAAACATTCGCTATAACCTTGTTCTATAACAAAAGTCCTTATCTTACTAGAAGTCCACTGTTAATACAATGACATGAAAGCCAAATAGAGATCATAGTCTTCCATTTTGGATTCAAACTAGCATTGTTAGAAACATGTTTTCAAAAGAATAGACTGAAACAGAGGGTTGTGCTGCAAAACTACCGCTCTTTTGTGTAAGAGTCTTCTAATAAAGTCTATATGTGTATGTATATAGATTTAGTAAAATTTTGCAGCAATACTGGTATTGTTCTGAGAAGCACTTTCTGTCGCTAATAGCAAGTGGAAAAAAGTTATCGCAATAATCGGCCGTTATTGCGATAACTTTGACGGAAAAAGTCATCAGCTGTCATACCTGCATGCTAGTTAGTCTTCATAGGAGAAGCGATCAACTTTTTTCCATGGTGAGCGATCTCCTTCTTCGGACAGAACTAGTAAATCAGTTAGAATAGTTTTGAGACGAACGAGTGACCAGTTCTTATTTAAAAGAACTGAACTGTGCCACTTCTATCTAGAATCCTAGTGCAAAAAGATGAGTAGCACAATGTTTTAATTTACACTATATGCAGTGGAACAACATATCAATGAATAGTAAAGAAAAGCAAACAAATAAATTTTTTGTAGACATATCAAATGACGTTTACGGGTACTGGGTACAGAGTTGTGTATCAGAAGCAATATTCGCATTGAAAAAACGTCTGATCTGATAATCTAAGTTCGACTTGAAATTTATTCCTGTTTGTTCTGTTAATGTTTACTCCGTTTTTAGACTCTTACTTGAATATTAATTTCCATAGTAATATATATATTGGTTTGTGAATATGGTCATCATCTGATAATACGCATATTTAATGATACTACTATCAGCAAAAATGTTATAAATAACTGTACAGAAAACAAATGAGTTATAACAGCAAATATTAACGATTAAAAGAAAAAAATCCATATATCTCATTTTTCGTAGTTTACAATTCTTTTGGTGGAATGTATAGTGGAGATTTCAAGCTTTGCATAGAAATCAGGATCACTGTGTCACGTTTTAAAAAAAAGTTATGAATTCAATTCATACATGAAATTAAATTTTCAACTCTTATAATGATATGTATCAAAACGTAATTATTGAATTACATAAACGAGGCGTATGATTAGTTAACAGGAGATGTGATATTCTGCGAAACAATGTCATCATGTCTGTTGTTCGTTGTATAAAACTTATTTACATTCTTAAAAAATTGATTTACTTATATTTATTCGGTATTATCATTATGTGTTTGTAACATTTTCATTGTGAGATAATTATCACCGTTTTTACGATATTTTCCACTCAGACGAACTCTCGGTGTTGTGCCATAGATAACTTCGCTACCTTTTGTTTCAGCATAATTGTAATTTCGTCGATTATGTAATGACTTCATACGTGGCTCTTGAGCGTGTTTTTCGTTCAAAATTTTTGTAAAGTCTAATGCTTTTAAACGTAGTTCATACGCCTTATTTTCACGATATTTGACATCACCGTACGATGACCGGAATGTACTACCGTCACTAACTATTGACGAAGAATCATCTTCAGAGCGCAAGCGTTCTCGGCGAAAGTCTTGTTCGTCAAATCCTGAGTCTCGATCGTAAGCTAAATGATTCGAACGATGTTTTATATTATTATTTTTCGTTGAATTTGACAGTACTTCAGTTGACTGACTATGTCGTTTTTGTTCAACTAGTGAAGGACGAGATTGTGGATTGTTTTTCATAGTTGTTGTTACTGTTGTGGTTCGCGAGCTATCGCTAGAGCGAACTGAATCACTTCGTTTCTCACCTCTGGCGCTGGTTATAAATGGTTGACGTCGTCTACCTCTCGAAACCTTTTGATCACTGACAGCCACAATTACGTCCGGCATTGTATTTGATCGACAATAAGCTAATTTTGGATGAAATGGTTTATTTGTGGTCGTTTGTGGTAAAGACGGTCGTTTGTAAGTTGGCGGTTGCTTTTGTTTTTGTTCCATGAATAGTGCTGTGAGAGTTTTTGATTTATCTCTGTTGACTTTGTTATCGATTATAGCCTCATAACTCTCTAAACTATCTCCATCCATGTTATCTTCATTCTTTATGTCAGTCTAAACAAACCAATGCTATAGTCAAACCTATACTCAAAAGTATAACGCCTCATCGGTACAATTTTGAGCACTAACAGGCTATTTTACCGTTTCTTTTGATTTAACTCCAATCATGGCATCTTCAATATCGTTCAAATCAAAATCATTTTGTTGTGATTGTGTAAACCCGTCTATATTTGAAATAATGGATTCTGTTATACCTAGTTGTTTCTTTTCAATTGGACCAATTGCATTCAAAACGTCAGATACACCTTGTGCCATATCATTTTCATTCCATTCATCAAACATTGGATTTTTCGATTCAGAAGAACTTAGCAGTGTTTCTTCAAATGGTACATCGAAATGAGATGAATTGTCGTCCAGTAGAACATTTTGAGAGCGCTTTTGAGTTTCCTCTTCCTGATGTTTGAGTACATGCTGATAAGATTCATTTGATTGAAAATCCCATGGTAAATGTGGTCTCGTCGATTCAGTAATGAAATTAGTATCATTAACATGCTGTGTGCTGCCATCATCATGATCATTTGTAGATATTTTCGGATATTCTACAATACATGGGATCGTATTAGATTTTTTAGAATACAGTCTTGCCGAACGTTTATTATCTCTCTCACTGGTATTCTCTATTGCTTTCAATTGTTTTTGTTCGTGATGTCGAATATCTGAAAGAACGAGAGATAAATTCTGAACTGTTCTTGTATCTTTCAGCATACCTTTGTTCGGCAACGTTAGATCGATTGGTTCTATACGGCGGCGTGAGTATTGATCTTTCTCTTTATTAATCAGCTCTGTTCCTTTAGCATCGAGAGAAAGAGATGTTTTGTACACGTTTGATTTGTTTTCTGGGATTGCTTTTTTGATACTTGAATCGCGATGATGATTTTCATCCAATTTGTTTTTATTATCATCAACTGAATTAATATTTAACAGTTCATCACTGATAGGTTTTACGTCGTTTGTTACTGTTTTAGTTTCTGAATTCTCACTAGTTTCTGGACTCTCATTAGTTTCTTTTCTATTTATTGCTGAACTGACAATTTCTGGTTCTTCGTTCAACAAAGGTTTTGATGATTCAACTATGGTCTCAGATGATACTGGTAGTTTAGCTGGAGTCGACGGATATTCAACACCTGTACCTCTTACACTTAAACCTTTTGATTTTCTTGGCGTGATTTCTTTTGGTAAAGTGTCATGATGTTGACATTTTTCCGAATGATTGTTTCTCGGTTTCAAAAGATCTTCTTCAGATTTGTAAACGATTTGTCCTATTCGATGGCGACCATCTACACCTCGTGTGATAACCAATTCAGCACCTTGAAGATCACCACCTCCAGTTGTTGGACGAAGTGGAAATTGCTCTGTGCGAAGAGCAACGGGCTGCCCACCACTGAAATTTTTCGGTTTCATTGCATTTAACTTCATAATAGTCGGTACAGCTATAATGGGCGATTCACTTTGTTCAACGTGAGTTTCTGTTCGTCGATGCCCTGAAGAAAAAAAAAATGTTAACTAATGTGATGATCCTGTTTGTATTTGAAAAATACCGAGACAACGACAAGGATCATGTTTATTTAAATAATTTTCTAATGTATCCCATCCTCCTCCAACTCGCACCATAACGTGATTTCTTAAAATCTATAATAAAAAGAAAAGTATTCAAGTCTGAATTATTTTGATGATGTTTTATAACTCACTCGTATAAAAACAATGGTTCCACTTTGACCAATTCGATATTTTCCTTCACCGATTTGTATAACGGGAAATTTTTGTGGACAACAACATGCATTCATCATTTTACATACCTAGTTATTAATTATGACAAAGTTAGGCGGAAATTTATTATGAAATTTTTCAACGAAAAGTAGAATGCAATTTCTTTTTTTTTGTGTTTTTTCATTCAATTCATATCTTACCGTTTTGTGTAACTGTGATGTTGATTTAGTAGTTGCTGTAGTATCTAACGTATCCGTTTCATAACTTTCACCCAGTGTTCTGCTTTCTACAATGGTTGTATCTGTCTCAATCGACGTGATAGCGCTATTAAAATTACTGCCTTCACTACTACGACGTTTTTTCGAAAATTTTGGAATTTTTGATCTTAGCCAATTTGCACCGTTCGAATGAGTCAATGAGAATGTGCTGTAATTGTTTGATTTTGATTGTAATGATAATGTGGAGGAAGAATTTGTATATATATTTTGAGAATCAATATTATCCGGCTCGATCGATTTTAGTTTAGTTAAATTGCTATCGTCAGTGAGAGATATTTGTTTCGTTAATACGGGTGGTGGTGGTGATGATGATGCTCTTTCGATGGGCATACTATTGTCATGATGCTCATTTCGTACAAAATTCAATAATTTACTATATCTATGACTTGCTTTAATACTTCCGATGCTGTTTTTTTTCACCGATCGTTGTAAACGTTGTAATTCTGTAAAACTCATTATTTCTTCTTGTTTATCACGTTGAATTTCTTCTTCAATTTCTTTTTCTAACCTAATAATATTCGGTACACTAACACCGAATTTAGCACCATAACGAGCAATTTCTAATAAACAGAATAAAAAATTTTTTTCGTTTTTTCTCAATATTAAATCATCCGATTCAAACATTAAAACTTCACGAACGCCAACTTTTCTGCACCATTTAATAAAATTAGATACATTGTCTCTTGCATTAAATGTTTGTGGACGACTATTCTCACGATAAATACAATTTTCGTTTGTTATTTTTGTATCATAATGATCAACTAAGTTTAATTTTAATGCATTACGTGCTGCTTCATTTACATTATTTGCATGTTTACACAATAGTACACCGTTTTCTTAAAAATAATAAAAAATATCTTTGGTAACTTACATTCTACACATTATTGCTGAAAATAACTTTGTCTTAAATCAGATCATCTATTATTGAAAAACAAAATTGTAAAAGTAATATTCATTTGTGACTAGGTATTTATATATATATAGTTGAACTAAATCATACTCGTCTTTCTCCTATTTTATTTTTCGAGGAAGAGGAAGATCGTCTACATTAAAAATCAATTGTAGACAGAATGTTTGCATTTATTTATTCGTTTCGTGTGTGATATCAAGCAAATGGATTGAATTGGTTTCGAGATACTCGTAGTATCTCATTATCAATCATATTTCTTACTTAGTGGCATATTATAACGATTATTTGGATTTAAATGTGATGTCTACATAAAAAAAGGTTCATTTCCCATATCTTTTGTTACGCTTATTTTCGCACAAAGAACATTCATTTTCTATGGGTTGTCTATTTTACTTTACTATATACATAAATATAGTTTTTACATGACTAGAGTAGTTTCTTACCTAAAGATTCAATAAAATTATCGGCCGTTATTGATTCATTATACATTGAGCTTAACCATTCAGCGAGATCTTCTTTCATAGCATATAAGTATTCGTCTGTTGAATTATATGGTTGAACTGATTTCATTTCTAAAAATTTTGAATTTTGATCAATGACCAAATTGGCCGGATTATTATCCGTTTTTAGCACCATATTTGCTAAAAAAATTAAATAAATAACAAGTTTAAGTTGTGACAATGACCGATTATAGAAGCAAATTGTATCGTATCTAAGTGACTTGATCTTTTCGATACATCTTGGTCTTGAAACGAGATACAGTTTAGTGTTTGAAAATTTTATCATTATACCTTAGATTAATTGAGTGTCTACGCTTCTTTTTTTTAGAAATTGTCACGAGTGCTAGAAACTGTACTTGTTTGTATCTAAATAGTAGGCCTCTGGCAGCGACATATGTCATTTCTTATTACCGGATATATCTTATAGAAAGGAAGAATATGTATCTTACAGCTAATAAAATGTTTTACACTCAATCAATACTTTACAATTTTAACATCTTCTGTTTAACAATAATGATTATACTTATGTTGCTTCAACATACCCCTTTTGTATTATTATTTTTAACTGGAAGTCATTATTTTATTTAAAAACTATCTATTGTACGGCCAATTACTCACTCAATATTTTCTTTTTATATTCTTTTAACAACACATCTCATTCTTGTATGGTCAACAACTTGTCGTACCATTACATGGATATTTAAATATATATGTGTTAATCAAAAAGAATAACGTATAATATATACTGATAAATTTGAAACTCGTTATAGTCATTCATCCACTATATTTCATTCGTTGGTTCCTTCTTTTTTTTTTTGTTCTTCTTTTCTGCTGTATCACAGTTTTCTGCTGCCTACAGTCAAATTTGTTTTAGGATTTCGTACAAAAAATCATTACATTTTTCATTGTCTTTCTATGTCTCTCTCTTTCTCTCGCTTTAGAATGTATCAGAGAACGAACACTGAAGGGTTCACTTTTTTATTTTTATTTTATTCTACTACTTTGTTCTTTGCTCGTTCATTATTACTCTCTCTCTCTCTCTCTCCTTCAATACAGCACTACTATACACATGAAACTGTCTATAGACAAAAACACTTGCTTTTAATCATAAAATTCCTTTGTTGTATGATTTGAACGAATTAAGTGATATACGAGAGGTGGAAGATTACAGAGAAAAAAAAGGTGTAGTGAGGATAGAATACAATTATCAACTAATGAAAGAGTGTATACTGGCGATTTTAATCGACAAAAGTATTATACAACAAAAAATCTCTCTATACTAGCCTTACTAAGATGGGCTAATTAGAGAGGATAATTAACCACAACGAATAGCCTCTGAGGAATAAATAATTGACAAATGAATATGATAAAACTTGTTCATCTAAATATTCTTATCTTTCTATTGTACAATGATGACCATGAACGTAGTATTTGTTTCGATTTAGTAAGAGAAATCGTTATGGGTACAGTACGCCCATAGATAGGCACTTAACCTTAAAATTTACGTGGAAAATAGCAATAGAAAGTCGTACGTAGATTAGTAAGAATATGATAAACGTTTTTTGATACTAATATATCATTGAGATAATATGTGTTTCCAAGAGTCCAGAGCAAAGAATTCAAATTTCATTCTCAAAACATTGTTTAAGTAATGAATCAAAATAAGAAAGTGATCATAAATTATGTTCATGATTTTTTTCAGTTCAACAGTCTTATACTTACAGTCACCGTATTGGCTCTTCCACCATGATATCGTTTCTGACAAAAGTGCCACAAGACTAATCATTTCTCTATCTTGTATGTGTGAGATAATAAAACTAAGTTTACATTAGAAATTTAACATATTTTTGTGAGACTAATTGAAAATGTGAAACGATATTATAAAGACGAAAAAGATGTTATTCATTTTATAATTTCTTAATGTTCAACTAAAAGATTTTTTTTTATTTATCCTATATTCTTTCAGAACAGTGACGAATGAACTCCATGATGTTAAATACCATATATTTATTTTAGCACTTTTTCTTCTTTTTACTTTTACGATCTCTACTGGGTATAGTTATACAAATCACAAACTTAACAAATGGAAGACATAGAGTATAAAAAAACGAGAAAGAGAGAGAGAGAAAATGCCAACTGTATCGTCTAACATCGATTATACTATGCCATGTGTTAATACGTTTAACTATACATCTTTGTTTTAGAAGTTCAATAATCTATTAATCAGTTCGACCGGATATGACCGGATCGGTTCAAAAGTGCAACCTGTCAGTCTTTTACTGGTTAATACTGAACAGTTTTTTCAAGGCTTTATGTGTGAGAAATGTTGAAGTATATTTTATACATACACAAGAGTAGCCAATGATTATGAAATTAAAATCTCAATCAATATCTGTTTTTCTTGCGATTATTTTTTCATGCTTTGTATCTGTTTCAAATCTCTCATCTAATCTTAAGGTCGAAAAATATCTTTTAATTCTCGAAGCTAGATCACAAAATATTTAATCCATCTGCTTACAAGGATACGTTCACAGTTAAGATAATGGATTTCTGTTCATATGTCCTAGTAAGACGATTGAATCTATCGAATATTTTTCATTAGAAAAAAAAATAGACTGTCAACCGAAAATCAAGTTCGATGAAAAACATATTGAAATTTTCTATTAAATACAAAAATAAAAATTTATAAACGAATTCCTCTCAACATATTACTTTTAATTTCATGGAGTTTTATGCCTGTTTAGACAAATTTTCAACCGGCCGGACCGGATTGGTTCGAAAATTTCCACCCGGCTTCAACTGTGCATGAACTAAAGGAATCCTTTCAAGATGCAGCCTTCCGATTCCAGTGATTTGTACTTGGATCGATAGACCTCAGTGAGATAGCAAATACCCTAAAAGGATTCGTGCTCACGGTTCTTGAAGATCCGGTTTTCTGGAAAAACAGTTTTTCAAGAACTCTAAAAAAATAACAAAAACCTTCTTTTAGTGAGGCATGATTGTAGTCTACAAATTTCAAAATTACAAAAGAAAATGAGACATCTACCAGCTCTACACGACCTTTCTTTGCAAAGTTATAAAATTTACAAAAAAAGCCCTAAATGTTCATTGTCAGCTATAGAAAATAAGAAGAAATTAATTTAGGACTTTTCTTGTAAATTCTATAACTTTGCAAAGAAAGGTCGTGTAGAGCTGGTAGAAGTCTCGTTTTAATCAGAAATTTCCGGGTTACAGTCATGCCTCATTAAAGAAAGGTTTTTGTTATTTTTTAGAGTTCTTGAAAAACTGTTTTTCCAGAAAACCGGATCTTCAAGAGTCACGGGCACGAATCCTTTTAGGGTATTTACTACTTCACTGAGATCTATTGATCTATGTACAAATCATTGGAATCGGAAGGTTACATCTCGAAAGTTTCCTCGTAAGTGAAAAAAATTGTCTATTAGAGAATTTACATATTTTCAGGTGAAAAATTTCAAAAAATGATTAATTTAAAAAGAAAATAATGAGAAAAAGTATGAAAAGAGAGTGGGGCTTTGAACTGAATGGAGAACGAAGTGCGAATTATTTAATTTTTATGCTGTCTAAAGACTGATGCCGCTTTAAAATAGCCATTAGCAAATAATGGGCTTGATAGTGTCAATGACAAATAAAAATGCGTTATATATTACTAAATAGACTTGCCATAGACAGTGGAAACAATGCATGCTAACAGATTGAGGTTGAGTTCTCGTAAAATGTTGTTATAAATAACGAATTAGAAATATTAGCACTAAAATGATCCCAAGGTATTTCTTATAGAATATGGAACTTCTAGGAAATGTTTTTGAAGTTCTTCGTCACCATGATAGACCGAAAAAAATCTAGGTTTCCTCTAATTTTTTGATATATTATATACATTTTTACTTTTTTTGCACAATAATTTTTTCGGTACACAATGTCAAATATATCTATAGATCATAATTTACTATTCTAATAGATTGTTAAACAACAAATAATTAATTAATGAGATTGATCTCTTTTCAGTCTTTTGAGCTCGGAGAACCGGTTTCTTGAATCGTTCTCCATTCACTCCAGTTTTGATTCTAAATAGACAACCGTTCTCTTTTTAGCCATACTTTTGTTCTCTAAACAATTCTTGTCCCAAATAATAACCTAATTCTAACGTCTATGTTCATCTTATGAAACATAATAGCGTTAAAAAACAAAACAAAATCTTATTAAAAAAGACATAGTGTTTATTTTCTCAACGTTATACATAGTCCATAAGACTTTTATAGTAAAGTATTTTGAAATATTACTTACTAATTTATGTTTTTCCGAAGATATGTTATAGTTGTTTTTAATTCAACTTCAAGTAACAATTACAGTTCATTTTGGCTTATTATATTTTGAAATATGTAACAAAAATGATTGATTGTTTATAAAAATAATTTTTTTAATAATATACCTATATATTACAGCAGCCACATAAAAAACATGTTCATTTATGAATGAATGGACAAGGTACTGAAAAAAGAAAATTTATTTAAATATTCTATTTATTTTCTTTTTTTAAATATCATATATGATGTTGTATAACCAATGAAACTAAAGTAGTGAAGATGTTAATTCTCGTTGCTTACATCATTTACGATTAAATCGATGTACACGCATTTCTGATTTCAAGTGAAAAAACCTTTTTTTCGACAGTTTTAGTGCACTTAACCATTACACCATATTCATTTGACACTAAATCAGATAGATATCGAAAATTATTGAAAAGAGACATGTTTCAGTTAGTTATTGTCTAAATAGGATCAAGGACTATGACATGAAGCAAAGAGTTAACAATTTTAAACCAATAGGACCAAAGTTATGTAAAGAAAAAGTCTTGAATATTAACATTTTTTAAGTCGAAAAAAAGTAAAAACCCAAAACATGTGTCTGCTTTAGCTGAGGAGAATCAAGGTTTAAAAAACAAGAAATCGAACCGATACTCATCCCTGGAACATCGAGAGACCTTGAAAGAGAGTAAAGAAAAATCTGGATAAAATATTTTATTATACTCCATCTCTACTTCGTTCAACCTGTTTGGCACATAGATCAGTTCAACCTGCTAAATGATTGAGAACAATCACAAAAATAGAGAGAACAAAA